GAAACTCCTGGAACTGGAGTTAAAGACGATTGTGTGTCACCACGTGGGTGCTGGGAATTGAACCTAGATCCTCTGGAAGAGCAGTCAGTGCTCTTAACTGCTGAGCCATCTCTCCAGCCCCAAGTTTCACTAATTTTTAAAAACTTTATCTCTACACACATGGGGCACACAGTATGCTCAAACACCCATACACATACACATAAAATTAAATAAAATTTGAAAATATTTATGCTGCCAGGAGGTGCAGGCCTTTAGTCCCAGTCCTCAGAAGCAGGTGGGTTTCTGTAGCTTTGAGGCCAGCCTAACCTGCTGAGAAAATTTCAGAACAGCCAGGGCTACACAGAGAGAGACTCTGTCTCAAAGTAAATAAGGATATATATATATATATATATATATATATATATATATATATATCATAAGTAAAGAGGCTTGCTGAGCAAGCCTGGAGACCTGAGATCAAGGAGAAACCAACTTCCAAATATGCCCTCTGACCTCCACAGGAGTGCTTTGGCAGCCCCTCCTCCTCACAATAATAATAATAGTAATAATAATAGGCCATTACAAGTTAGACACCAATTTAAAAAATCACTTTGACCTTCAGTGCTGTTGGTTAAAAGCAGAAGCCAACCACCCTCTGTGAAAGATGCACTCTGGCCCTGGAAAAGAGTAGCATCCCTGCTCTGGAGGAAAGGAAGCGGGGTGGAAGGAATTCTGCACACACAAGCCCTGATAACTGCCCTGGCCTTCCAACTGCCCAGCCCCAGTGCCTCATCACATATTCACAGCTCATTTACCTTTGATCAAGACATTACATACATGACCTACAGTAACTCTTTGTTTTGGTCTTCAGAGTTGGGTTTTTTTCTTTCTTTCTTTCTTTTGGCTCCCATGTCACATAAAATTTGTCTTATACTTTTCTCCTGCTAATCTCTGTCATCTCTGTTTAATCTTAGACCCAGCAGGGACACTCAAAGGGCAGAAGTGGAATTTTTCTGCCTTGCAGTTTCTGGCAACAGAGATGGGATCCTGAAAGCCTGAGGCACCCCTTGTTGCCTGAATTTCTCCTGGAGAAGGGCAAATGAATACCTGGTCACCTCCGATAGGGTGCCAGCAGCAGCAAAGGATTCCATTCTACTCTAGCTTGGTGAATCAATGAGTTCGTGTGGCTTTGTATAGGAGAATGGGGAAGGGTTACCTGCCGAAGTGTGAGTGGCTCCCAGATGGCCATATCACTGAAATCTCACCCCAGCTGCATAGGTGGAGCCTTTTCAGCTAACTTCCCATTCTCTGTGTACTCTCAGCTTTCCAAATCACACCCAGCTGGGGTAGAGTTACTCATATCGGTGAGGGAGGCATAGAGGAGACAGCTGGGGTCTCAGGTGAGGATCTGGTGGTGCACCCCCTCCTATGTGGGAAAGTGAACAGATCTAATTTTGGGGTCTCTTAGGACTAACCTCAACTTCTCTAAGACAGCAATGGCTGTTGGGCTAGGAGGACAACAGTCCACAATACCTTCCTTACTCCACGTCTTCAGGTGGGGTCCTGAAAAACTACAAACCCCAGTAGCGAGAGGGAGGACATGGTAGCTCATATCTGTAATCTCAATATTTGGAGTCTTGGGGCAGGAGGATTACTGTAACTTTGATCCCCCTACCCCCAGCAAGGATTACAATGAGTCCAGCCTCTACAGAGTGAGCATGGCAGCATGGCAGAATTCTTAGCACTGTCCCAGATCTCTGTTTCACCCCACTGAAAAAGAAAGGCGTCGTAATGAGCTTCAGCTGTCAAGTTGATGCACCTGGGGAGAGGGAACCTCAATAGAGGAATTTCGTTCATGAGCCTGGCCTATGGACAAGGCTGTGGGGGCATTTCCCTGTCGTTAATTGATGTAGGAGGGCCCATCTCACTGCCATCCCTGAGCCAGTGGGCCTGGGTTATAGAAGAAAAATAACTGGCAGAGAGCCTGGAAGAAGCCAGCAAGCACCATCCCTTGGTTTTTGCTTCAAGCTCCTACTCTGAGTTCCTGCCTTGGTTTCCCTCGGTGATGGACTGTTATCTGGCAGCCAAGTCCAGGTTTCTTTGGGTCACTTGTTTTATCACAGCAACAGAAAGCTGATGAGGACGGAAGATGGAAAGTTTTTCTTGTCTATTCCTTTCTAATTTTGGATTGCCAGGAGAACATTTGTTAGAATCAGTTCTTCAAATTGCGACTCTCAGGAGTTTTGTTATGATACATTTGGTTGATGGCCTGCTGCCCAAAGAATAGTTCTTATTCCTCGTATCTTCCATTTGTGTGGCCTGTCATAAAAAAGAAGTAGGAATGAAGTTCTCTTCTCACCTTGTTTGGGGTCTTTATGTCTTTGTGGCCATGAGAACACCCTCTCCGGGCTTCTCAGGCCAGCCAGGAGTCCACCCAGTCATCTATCCAACCGTGCCAACCTCAGCAAGCTTGTCTTCATTGTCCCACCTTCTTTGCTTTGTTGATGTTCAGGGCTTTGCATTCTTGGACTATCTCTGGATAAACTTTGGATTTTAAGGAGGATTGCATGTTTTGAACCTGCTTTGGGGATACTTCTTGTGTTCATGACAAAACCACACAAGACTTATCAGTGATAAGCCACAAAAAGACTTGTTGGTTTTGAGTCACAGCTGAAGTAGTTTTGCCTGTGGAAACAAAATACTTTTCAAGCTCAGCTCTAGAATACTTTTGATAGATGTAAAAGTTATATTTAGCCTGGTGTGGTGGTTTGAATGAGAATGGCCCCATATGTTGTGTGATATTTTTATCACTTTCTGATGCTCCTGAGACTGTCAAAAAAGTTTGTTTTGAATCAGAGAATGGAGCTAGCTACTAGCTGACCAAAATTAATCATAGAGGTTTTGGAAGACTGAGGGTAGAGAGACACAGGAAGTAATAGGGTGGGGTGTAGAGAGGGTCTTCTTGGCTTTTTTGAATCGAGGAGTGATAGATAGGTGGTCACTAGTCACTTCTCTGCTGCTTCTCCGATTATTCATGTTCTTACCCTGATATCTGACCCCGAGTTTTTATTGATAAAGAATAATTATATAAACACTTCATCTGGCATGCAACTTGGGGTACCAAATCGTGAGGTAACCACTCTCTCCGGCTTTGAAGCTGATAGGGCCAACACTGACTGGCTTTTCTTCCTTCACCTCAGGCCCTCTGAGTGAGTCTAGGATTTTCCTGTTGCAGTCTCTCTACAACAGCCTCTAGCTACTGCTTGGCCCCAACCTCAAACTCCACAGGTACCTGGGCTCTGAATGCCACCAGAGTTAGCTGCCCATCTCCACTGCGTGCCAACTCTATCCTTCAGGCAACCGTGCCCTAACTTTCCACCGCAGGTGCTTCTGCATGTCCCCCATGTCCACTTTTCAGATGGCTGGCCCCCTCTCTCCATGAGTTACAGGCTTCCCGTGGGCTCCCTCCTTAGGCCACTGCCACACCAGGTCAGCTGCAGTGGCCCTCAGCCAAGCCGTGCACTGCCTGCGTTTTCTGCTCAGCCACGCTGCACAGCGACAGCCAGCCTCACACTTCACTGTTACTGTCAGCAGTCTGATGAGATGCCTGGGAATCTTAAGGCGGGGGTTGGAATTAGTTTTTGTTTTTGTTGTTTTTAAAAGGCTTTTTCCCACATTAGAATGGGGAACAAGTCGGGCGTTGGTGGTGCACTCCTTTAATCCCAGCACTCGGGAAACAGAGGCAGGCGGATCTCTGTGAGTTCGAGACCGGCCTGGTCTACAAGAGCTAGTTCCAGGACAGGCTCCAAAGCCACAGAGAAACCCTGTCTCGAAAAACCAAAAAAAAAAAAAAAAAAGAAAAGAAAAGAATGGGGAACAATATTATGATAGAGGGAATTAGGTTTCTGTACAGTTCCACAATGGATGGTTTAAACATAGAGCAATTAAATGAAGAAATAATCAACTTAGCTGCGATTGACATAATGTCAATTATAATCATTATCAATTTGGTAATTCATGTTTTATCCTTTAAAAGGTCGTTTGATATTGGTGTCAATATTGAAAAACTGACTGGCAAAGTACAATTCTTAGAAAGACCTACTAATGAAATTAATAAAAACATCACACACAGAAGCATTTAGATTAGAACCTACTGCACCATTGCATTATGAAACTAAAGAGTGGCCCAAGGCTAGTAGAAACCCAACCTTAATTTATCCAGTTACCATTCAAAAATGACCACCACCCAAGACTATGAAACAGTTAAATGGGATCCTATAGAAATGTTAGATTTGAAGAGATTCAAGGAAGCCATAGTATTATATGGTATGCATTCACCTTTTGTAAAGCAGATGTTAAATTCACGGGCTATTTGGAACAGAATTATTTCACAAGACTGGAAAGACTAAGTTACTGCAGTATTGGAATCTGGTCCTGAGTTATAATGGAAAACATGGTAGGGAAATGAAGCTAGGCTCATAGAACAACAAAGTAGGGCTAAATGTATGGAAATTTCCTAAGAACAGTTTCTTGATGAGGCCCAGTTTGCTGGTTTGCAAAGACAAGTTACATTTGATGATCACACCTTGGTCCTATGTCGTACAGCAGCTTTGAATATTTGGGACAGGGTTGAAGAATCAGAAAAAAGGACTAAGTCATTTACTAAAATTATACAAGGCCCCAAAGAAGCCTTCACTATTGTTTTTTTTTCTTTAATAAAGATTGACTTCAACTGAAAATAGAATGATATAAGATCCTGAAGTTAGACAAATATTAATTGAATCTTTGGCTTTTGAAAATGCTAACTCAGAATGTAAAAGGATGATTAGGTCGTTAGTGGATTAGAAATACATTTGACATTGGATCTCACGCTTATGATGATACTTGGATAGAGAAGTGATTTCTAAAAATTTTAAGAAAAATCAAAAAGTTAGATGTTTTAATTGTGGAAAACCACACCATCTGAAAAGTGATTGTAGGCAAGGCATTCCTAAGAACAATGTTTTTTTTTTTTTTTCTAGAAATAATCCAAACAGAAGGACTCAGCCTTCTGGGATATGCAGAAAGTCTGGCAAAGGCTGACATTGGACTAATGAATACAGACTGACATGCCATAGGCAAGGTAACCTTTTGCCATTAGAAATGCCTTAGGGGGCCTCTCACAGGCCCCATGTCAAATTTGGTTCAATCATTGGGGAAACTCCTCCAAGAGTCAAGACAGTGCCCTGGATAGAAAAAAAACCCAACAGCTATATTGATCAGTTTCATTTGATGAAATGAAATTTTGAAGAGAGACCATAAAACAAGTATTTTGGCCAACTTCTATAAATGATCAAAAACCAAAGTTAAAAATATAAATAAATGGCATTAAAATTAGGGGTTTGATATACACAGATGTAACAATAACTGCACCAAAATCTTGGCATCCAAATTGGCCTCTTCAGGAGATAAATGTTCAGTTTCTAGGGATTGAACTTTGTCTTAGGTAAAACAAAGCACAAGATGGTACAAGTGTATAGGGCCAGAGGACAGAGAGGAAAATTAAAGCTATATGTGGCTAATATAGCAATGAATTTATGGAGACATGATTTGTTACAGCAATAGAATGCCTAGATTAATATTCCTTCAATCTTGGGCTGGAGAGATGGCTCAGTGGTTAAGAACACTGACTGCTCTTCCAGAGGTCCTGAGTTCAATTCCCAGCAACCATGTGGTGCCTCACAACCATCTATAATGAGATCTTGTGCCCTCTTCTGGCCTGTAGGGATACATGCAAGCAAAATACTGTATACATAGTAAATAAATAAAATCTTAAAAAAAAAAAAGAAGAAGAGCACTGGTTGCTCTTCCAGAGGTCCTGAGTTTAATTCCCAGCAACCACATGGTGGCTCACAAACATCTGTAATGTGATCTTCTGCCCTCTTCTGGCCTACAGGGATACATGCAAGCAGAATACTGTATACATAGTAAATAAATCTTTTTAAAAAATTGCTCTAATCTCAGAAACAAACCATAGACTAATGTATGATTCCCCCCCAAAAAAATATTGAAAAGTGTTATCAAGGATGGGTTTTAATTTATTTTAATTTATTATTATTATTATTATTATTGTTATTATTATTTGTATTTTAATGATTTTTAAATTTATTTTTATTTTATTGCAACTGACCATTCAGGTTGTACAAAGACAAAACATAACAGCTGCTGATCTATCAAAGGTATCAACAGCCCTACCTTTAAAATTGTTAATTGACAAACCTGTCTGGGTGTAATAATGGCCTTTGACATCAGAAAAATTACAGACATTGCTGAGCAGTGGTGGCACCTGCCTTAATCCCAGCACTCAGGTGACAGAGGCAGGTAGATCTCTGTGAGTTCAAGGCTAGCCTGATCTACAGAGCAAGTTCCATGACAGGATACAAAGCTACAGAGAAACACTGTCTCAAAAAAAAAAAAAAACCAGAAAAGAAAAAAAAGGAAAGAAAGAAAGAAAAGAAAAGAAAATCACAGGTGTTAGAACAGCTGGTACAGAAGCAGCTAAATGCTCTTCATATAGAAAAATCAACCAGTCCTTGGAATTATACTATATTTGTTATTAAAAAGGAATCTGGAGAAAATGGAGAATGGTAACAGATCTGAGAGCTATTAGTAACGTGATCCAGCCAATGGGCTCTTTACAGCCTTGCATTACCTTGCTTTCTCATTACCTAAAGAATGATCTATTATAGTGATTGATTTAAAAGACTGCTTTTTCAGTATGCCTTTACAAGAACAGGATAGAGGAAAAGTGTGCTTTCACAATGCCTACTTACAATAATTCCCTGCCTGTTAAATGGTATCAGTGGAAAGTTCTTCCACAAGGGATGTTGAACAGCCCTACCTTGTGTCAATATTTTGTACAACAGCCATGGAAAATAATTCATAATTAGTTTCCTTAATCTATAATTTACCATTATATGGGTGATATCTTACTAGCTGATTCAAATGCAGACACATTAGAGAAAATGTTTAAAGATGAAAAATTTTGCCTTAATGAGGATTACAAATTGCTCCTGAAAAAAATATAAAGAGGATATTTTATTAATTATCTAAGATATAAGATAGGTTTACAAAAAAATCAACCACAGAAAGTACAAATTAGGAGAGATCAATTACAAACTCTTAAAAATTTTCAAAAATTGCTGGGAGACATTAACTTGCTATGGACCACATTGGATTGGCAACTCAAGAACTAAGTAATTTATTTCAAACATTACAAGATGATAAGGATTAAATAGTACAAGAAAATTATCAGCTGAGGCTGGAAGAGAGTTTCTTTGGTAGGAAAGAAATGACAGGATGAACATGTGGATTGCTTAGATCCAGAGCTTGAGTGTATTCTGGTTATTTTACCTTCTACATATTCCCCTACAGGAATTCCTATGCAGAGAGAAAACAATATCTTAGAATGGATATTTTTATCACACAAACAGAGTAAAAAATTAAAGACCCAGGTAGAAAAGGTTTCTGAATTGATTCTGAAAGGAAAATTAAGACTTCATCAATTAGCAGGAATAGACCCAGAAGAAATTGTGGTACCTTTTACTAGTGCTGACATTTCCTCATTATGAACAGAAAATGAACATTGGTAAAGAGCTTGCGATAATTTTTTTGGAGAGATTAGCAACAAATATCTCAAAACCAAGAGACTTCAGTTTATAAAAATAACTAATTGGATCCTTCCTCACAATATATATGGAACACAAATTTCTGGAGCCCCTACATTCTATACTGATGCAAATAAATCAGGAAAGGCAAGTTATAAGTCAGGAAATTTAAGTAAAATGGCTCTAAGCCCTTATGATTCTGTTCATGCTATTCTCATGCTACTATTATATTTCCCAGAACCTCTCAATATAGTTACTGATTCTCAGTACAAAGAAGGAGTTGTTTTACATATTGAAACTGCTGAACTTATTCCAGATGATTCAAAATTAACTTTGTTATTTATTCAATTACAAGAAATAATCAAAAATAGAAATTATCCTTTGTATATAACACATATCTGTTTTAGAATAAACTTTTTGTACACTGTGAAGATGTGTCTTTGCCAAGGCACCTTCTGATTGGTTTAATAAAAGAGCTGACTGGTTGGTAGCTAGGCAGGTGGTATAGGTGTGACAGACAGACAAAAGAAACAGGGTGGAAGACAGTCAGAGTTTGGGAAGTCCCAAGAGACTCAGAGAGAAGCAAGGTAAACTTGTCATGTTAGAAGAAGGTACAGGCATGTGGCAGAGGGTAGGTAAGAAATACGGGTTGATTTAAAATGTAAGAGTAAGCTAATAACCAGCCTGAGCTATCAGTCAAGCATTTATAATTAATGATAAGACTCCGATTGGTTCTTTGGGAATGGCTGCTGAGAAACAGAGAAACTCTGCCTGCACATATCAGATTCCACACAGGTCTACCCAGCAAAAACTAATGATGAAATCGATCAAGTGTTGGAAGGAAATGGGCTTTAGAAGCCTCAGAATTTCATAAGAAACACCATGTTAATAGCAAGGGTTTGAAGAAAGATTTTTCTATCACTTGACAACAAGCCAAGGAAATTATAAGAAAATGTCCTACTTGTTCTTTGTATAACCAAACTCCACTACCTGCAGGAGATAACCCAAAGGGTACTCAGAGAAAGGAAATTTGGCAAATGAATGTGTTTCATTTTGTAGAGTTTGGAAAATTAAAATATGTACACCATACCATAGATACATATTCACAATTTCAGTGGGCAACTGCTTTGAGTTCTAAAAAGACTGATTCTATAATTAGACATTTATTAAAAGTTAAGGCCATCATGGGGATATCTGTACAATTATGACTGATAAGTAAAATGAAAAATATTACAACATAAAGAATATTAAAGTACACCACACAGTCCTACAGGGCAAGAAGTTATAGAAAGATCTAATTGCACTTTAAAAGATATGCTTAATAAACAGAAACAGGTAATAAGGACTTCCAGATATAGGTTATACAATGCTTTATTAACTTTAAATTTTTAAATGTTAATGAGAAAGAAATGACAGCTACGAAGAGCTATTGGATGCTAGAAAAACCTGCTGGATTAAACCAGCCTGTATACATTAAAGATGTCTTGACCTCAAAATGGAAATCAGGACATATGTTATGTTGGGGAAGATATTTTGCTTTTGTTTCCATAGGAGAATAGCTATGGATATCATCAAAACTGATAAAGATTAGATTCGAACAGGCGAGACCTCTTGGTTAAAAGAGGCAATAGTTCATCAAACAGCTTGACATTCATTCTCAATTAACTTATAAGACTTATAATGCCTTTCATTTGATTAGATATAACCTGCCGAAAAGGAAACTTTCCAAAGTTAGTGTTGGGGCAGGGTTTTGTTTTTGTCGTTCCAGGAGAATGAAGTTTTCAACTAAGGAATCTAAAGGCCCTGAGACAAATGAGACATCTGAAGGAGAAGGGAGAATCATCCAGAGAAAATGTCCCAAGAAAAAGAGAAAATTGTCCTATTGGTATAGCACATTTCCAACAAAATAAAATTTCATAAATCTTCCCAAATGTTTGTTTCTGCTGTTCTCTACAGACATCTAAGGCAAATGTTTGTTGTAGTCTCAGTTCAATTAAAAATTAAAGCTAGCTTTTTGAGTTGGAGTGTGGACCTTTCCTCTCTAAACCCAAGAATGCTTGTTAAAGGAAAATTCAAAATCTCTGCCTCATGTCAGAAGAGTCACCTGGTATGGCATAGAAGGAAAAACAAAATTAAGGGACTATTCTATTGTCACTAATCTCATAATCCTTTGGTTTTATTTTTACTCTTTAAAACATTTCTTAATGCATAAATATTATCTCAAAATTTATAAGATTGGACATTGTAAATGTAATTTCTACCTGATACTTGTTCTTATTGTATGTAGTTTTACTATGTTAGAGGTAAAATCTTCCTTTGTTATTTAGACCAAAAAGGGGAAATGTTGTATAATATTTTGATTGCATTCTGACACTCCTGAGACTGCCAATAAAGTTCATTTTTAATCAGAGGGTGGAGCTCACTCCTAGCTGACCAAAATTAGCCATAGAGGTTTTGCAGAACTGAGGACGGATAGACACAGGAAGTAGTAGGGTGAGGACATAGAGAAGGTCTTGGCCTTTTTGAATGGAAGAAGGGGAGAGAAGGAGGAAGTCACTGGTGGCTTCTGTGTCACTTCTCTGATCCTTCAGGTACTTACCCTGATATCTGAATCCTGAGTTTTTATTAATAAAGAATAATTAGATAAACACTCCATTCATAGGCTCGTTGGAACTGATGACTAAGGATTAGGAGGCCTTGTTGGGGGAGGTGTGTCACTGGGGGTGGGCTTTGAGGTTTCAAGAGCCCAGGCTCAATCTTTCCCTCTTCTTCTATGTCTCCCACCCCTCCTTTTTCTTCCCCACTACTTTGCTTGTGGATTAGGATGTAAGCTTTAGCACCATGCCTGCATGTTGCTATGTTCCCACTAGGATTGTCATGGACTCATCCTCTGAAACCATAAACTCCCAGTTCAATGCTTTCTTTTATAAGCTGCTTTGATCATCATGTCTCTTCACAGCAATAGAACAGTAACTAAGACACCTGGCCCTGCTGATGTATAATCTCACCTACTGCGGAGGGTGAGGAAGGATCACAAATGCCAGGTTGACCTGGTCAACTTAGAATCTGTCTCAAAAGGAAAACCAAAAGCTGGAGATGTGGCTCAGTGTGTAGATCTGCCCACATCAAGTATAAAACTTTCTTTTACCCAGATTCACTACTCATAAGCCTTGTATATGTTTAAGACTGCAAAGTCATAAATTTAACTGGAAGATAAAAGTTACAGTCAAGATCAATTGCTAACAACTGGGGTGTTCTCAAGTAGTAGAGCTCTTTGTTGCCATGTGTGAACATGGTTGTTAACATGTTAAGATCTAGGATCACCATGGAAACAGACCTCTAGGCATGTCTGTGAAGGAGATTTTACATTAGGTCAGTGGAGGTGAGAAGACACTATAAATGTGGGCAGCACCATGCTGTGGGCTGACTTCTGGACTGAAGAAAAAGGAGAAGTTGAGTGAGCACCAGTGTTCCTCTCCCTTTGCCTTCTGAGTATGACACAATGTGACCAGCTGCCTCAATCCTGCCACAATGATGTCCCCACCAGGACACACCGCTCCCTTGAACTCTGAGCCAAAGTAAACCCTGCCTTCCTTCCTCAAGTTGGTTTTGTCCAGGATTCTGTCACAGTGGTGAGACAGTAAGTCAGCAGTGTGCATCAGGCCTGAGCCCTATCCTCAGCAATGCTGAGCGGCTGAAATCTTAGAGACAAAGACGAAGAGCTCAATGGTTGAACAACAGAAACAATAATGTTATGCCAAGTTGAACTAAGTGCTGGTTGAACCAGGTGTGGCAGCACAGGCCAGTGACGCTCTGCAGGAGAGGTGAAGTCAGGAAATTACAAGCACAAAGCATCCTTGGCCACACAGAGGGATGAGGCCAGCCTGGGATATGTGAGCTCCTGTCTAAATAAATAAATAAAATTATGGATGTTCCACAAATATCTAAGATATTTCCAAGTAAGACATAGTACTGAACAAAAGGTTAAGCTGACATACTTGCAACTTCATGTCACAAAGGCAAATGCAGTGTTGGGGTCTATGTGGCACTGAAAAGGAATGTATGTAGTTAAGATTCCTAAAGGCAAAAACAGAAACCCTGTCTCAAAAAACATTAAAAAAAATCATGCGAGTATGTTTGTGTTTGTGCATGCATGCGTGTGTGCACGTGTGTGTGTGCTTGCATGAGAGGAGAGAGAGAGAGAAGGAGAGAGAGAGAGAGAGAGAGAGAGAGAGAGAGAGAGAGCATGCAAAGGCCAGAGAGAGCTTCAGATGTTCTGCTGTATCACTCTCCACCTTGTTCTTTTGAGGTAGGGCAGGATTTGAACTCAGGTCCTCATGCTTTCAAACAAGTGTTCTTGCCTGCTGAGCTATCTCCTCAGCCCCTGAAACAAAATTCCATATTGTCTTTCTGATCTCAAATTAAATGTGAGATTTTCCATGGGGCCCATGGAGAATCTCAAAAGATGTGTTCTCCTTCTAGAGAAAGAAATAGTGAACTGAGTAGGTTTGTACATGGGTAGCATTGTTGAGTAAAGGTGACATTTAACCTTTTCTATGGTGTATTTAGATACATATCACAAATATGAACATTCCAGAAGGTTTGTTGAATTCCTGAACAGCTATATGTTTAATATTTAGCTGGTCAAATTTCTAGTTACTATTTTAATCTATTGTATACCACAGAAGACGAACAACACCTCCCTTTTTTGGGGGGGTTCAAGACAGGGTTTCCCTGTGGCTTTGGAAGCTGTCCTGGAACTAGCTCTTACAGACCAGGCTGGTCTTGAACTCACAGAGGTCCACCTGCCTCTGCCTCCCGAGTACTGGGATTAAAAGTGTGTGCCACCATCGCCCTGCAACACCTCCTTTTAATTGCATTGTTGCTATAATAAACTCCTAGAGATCTTTAACTAAAATGCTGTAGCTTTATTCTGTTACTATTTCCTGACCAAAAGCAACTTAGGGAATAAAGGATTTGTTTGACTTATAGTTCAGGCCACAATTCATCATTGAGGGAAGTTAAGACAGGAACCTAGAGAGAAGAACCACAGAGGAATGATGCTTGCTGGCTTGTTCTCTGAATAGCTCCCAGACTCATGCTTAGTGAGCTTTCTTGTACACCCCATGAGCACCTACCTAGGGATGGTGCCACCCACAGTGGACTGGGCCCTCTTGCGTCAATTAGTACTCAAGACAATACCCCATGGTCCATCGGATCAAGACAATCCTTCAGTTGAGGCTTCTCTACTTGGATGACTGTGGTGGTTTGAATAAGAAGGCTCCTTGGGTTCCTGTGTTTAAATGCTTAGGGAGTGGCACTATTTGAAAGGATTAGAAGGTGTGGCCTTATAGGAAGAACTGTGGCCCTGGGGATGGACTTTGGGGATTCAAATGCTCAAGCCAGACCCAGTGTCTCTCTCTGCCTGATGCCTGTGGATCTGCATGTACTCTTAGCTCCTTCTGCAGCACCCTGTCTGCCTGTGTGCCACCAGCTCCTAAATCATGACCCAGAGACTTATTATTAATTATGAATACTCAGCCTTAGTTTAGGCTTGTTTCTAGCTAGCTTCTTAAAAATTTAGATTGTCCCATTAATATTCATCTATGTGCTATCCCAAGGCTTATTTACCTCATCGATGTACCATTCATCTTGCATTCCTGTTTCCTCCCTATCTGGCTGGCTCCTCCTGGCACCTGCTGACTCCTACTGGCTCCTTTTCTTTCTTCCTCAAACCTGAATTCCTCCTCCTGATTATTCTTCTTGCCCCAGAATCTTGCCTCTACCTCCTGCCAAACTATTGGATATTTAGCTTTTTATTAGACCAGTCAGGTGCCTTAGGCAAGGAAGGTAAACAAATATAATACATCTTTACATAAGTAAACCAATATTCCACAATAACCATGCTTCCCATCATGCTGATACTGTACCTCTGAAACTGTAACTAAGCCCCAGTTAAATACTTTCTTTTATAAGAGTTGTCATGGTCATGGTGTCTCTTCACAGACTAAGGCAGAAGTTGGTACCAGGAGTGGGGTATTGCTACAACAGGTCTGACCATGCTGCTTGTTGGTAGAATTGTGGACTTTGGGTTAGGAAAACAGTTGAACACTTTAAGCCAGGCCTAATAGTCCAGACTATCAGGATCATGGAAGACTGAGAGTGATACAGATTATGATGGTCTGTCTCAAGAGGTTTCAGAGAAGAAGAATATTAGTAAGTGTTCTAAAGACTGTTCTGGTGATATTTTGGTGAAGAATGTGGCTGTTTCTTGCCATTATCCAAAAAGAAAAAATCTGTATGGGGAAAATTGAAGAGTTTTGGATTAATGATGTTGACAAAGGAGATTTCAAGACAGCCTAGTGTTGACTGTGTCATGTGGTTATTAGTGGTCAGTCTCTTTTTTTATTTTATGTTCCCTATTCCCATACTTCCCATTCTCTCAAACACATAAAAATACATTGCTTATTGATAGTAGCCAGTTTTGTGTAGATCTATAATGAAAAGGAGAAAGCTGAGCATGGAAAAATACAAAATATACAGTTTGAGGAGAACAGGAGGCCCAGGAAGTATAATGAAGCTAAGTCCTGTGCTCGAGAATGTAAAAGCTAAAAAAAAAAAAAAAAAAAAAAAAAAGCAAAAGGGAATAAAGGAGGTGGTAACCTCAGGGCAAGACCCAACCCAGCTGAGGTTCCAACTTATGAAAAGCAATTAAAGAAAAACTTAAGCCATGAAGGAAACAATCTACAACAGAAAGCTAATGCAGATGTAATTGAATGAGGGGGCCATGTTCCAGGCCCAGCAAGCAGCAGAATTTTTCAGCTTCAACCACATGGCTCTGGATTGAGAGTCAAGGGTAGAAGAAAGGTGCTATGGAATATTCCCCTATAACTAAGGAAAGCCACTGAGGCCAGAGATGTCCCTGTATGGAGGCCCAAAGAGGCCATTGTGTGAAGCTGTGAAAGTGAAGCCTGTATTTCACTGGAGGTCCCAAGATGTTGGAGGTAACAGAGTCATGGGATACCTGTCAAAGAGAACTGCTGTTAAGCATGTCCAAAAGAGAGAGCTGTGCTGCAATCAACAAAGCTGAAAGGAGTCGGAGAACTGAAGAGTTCTTTAACATCAGACATGGAGATATAGAGTTTAGAGTTTTCCCAGCTGGTTTTAGCTCTTGCTTTGGTTCAGTATTT